CCCGCTCCCCCCGTCCCCGCGGGCACCGCCAGGCCCGCCGCACCGCGCACGCGCCGCCCACGCCCCCGGCAGGCGCCGGTCACGTGCGCTCGGGCATGGCGGGGCAGGCGGCGGCGGGCACGGCGCGGGGTGGAGGCGGGAATGGCGGGAGCGTCGGGAAAGGTACCGCTGCCAAGGGGAGCGGGAGCGCCCTCCTCGCCCGCCCGTACATCTGCTCCTTCCCCGGCTGCGACGCCACCTTCAACAAGGCCTGGCGGCTGTCGGCCCACCTCTGCGGGCACACTGGCGAGGTGAGCCCCGCCGGCTGGGGACGGGGGGCTGTGTGACCGCAGTGGGGGCACCGCGCTGGGGCCCCGCACACGGGCGGCGTTGGCCCCCGCGGGGGCACCGGGCAGGCCTTCACCGCCTCGGGAGTCCCAGCACACCGCGAGGGCTGCCGGGCTCTGTGCGGGGCCGCCGGGGCATCCCGCTGACGGCGGAATCCCGGGAGCAGCCGAGCCCCCCTTGGGACAGCTCCTCTCAACGGCCCCTGTGTTTCAGAGGCCGTATGTCTGCGATTATGAAGGCTGTGGAAAAAGCTTCACGAGAGACTTCCACCGCGCCCGGCATCTCCTCACGCACACCGGGGAAAAGCCCTTCGAGTAAGGCCCAAATTTTTACTCCTCAGGCGGGAGTACCCTTGTCCCTACGGAAACGGAGTTAAAACTGAGGGTGGCACAGGGCGGTGGCACAGGGCACGCATGCTTAGCTTTTGTATCGTGAGCACTGGCAGAACAATGTGCAAACAGGACATGGGCATCTCCTTAGCCCAAAAACCTCCTGTCTGGCAGTGATCCTTTACAGATGCTTAACAGGATAGGCAGGTCTTTCCCTAGAATACATTATTAAAGGAGTAAGGGAGGTTATCTCATATTATCAAGCCCTTATACTAGCTGCATTTCATGGATTAGGAGCTAGAAATTCCTATATGTTTTATTAAAAGTATCTTCTGATATGCTTCAGGTGATTGTTGATTGTAACAGCCTCTGGGTTTTCCTGTCTTTAAAGCAAACTTTTATATTTGGGTTTTGAGTTTCAGTTATTCCTCATGTAATGATTCCTCTTGTGCAATGATTTCTGTATATGCCTAGGGAACAAATCAGTGTTTGAGAGCGGTAATAAAAAATGCAGTTCATCTACAGGTGCGCAGCTGATGGATGCAATGAGAAATTCGGAACAAAATCAAACCTAAAGAAGCACATTGAGCGCAAGCATCAAAATCAGCAAAAGCAATATGTGGTGAGTAACTACCTTTGTACTGGATAGTGGAGGCTAAGCAAGCTCCTTTTTGTGTATCTGGTGAAATACTTCAACTTGTTATTATGTGGTACATGTATGAGTTCAAAGACTGTGACTGGGATTTCAGCAAACACATGAAACTTAACACATGAACTTAATTTCCTCAACAGTGCAACTTTGAAGGCTGTAACAAGTCTTTCAGGAAGCATCAACAACTTAAAGTTCATCAGTGTCACCACACCAATGAACCTCCCTTCAAGTAGGTGGATAATTTTAATAATGAACTTTAACAATTCCATTTAAACACTCTAGATGAAAACAGGTGCCTTTTCCTAGCCTTTTCGTTAGTATGGCATTAAAAAATGGAATCACTTTGTAGTCATGGCTGCAAGTATATTTCTTGTACTAGTCCTTTGCTCAGTGGTCTGTTTAGAGCAACATAGTCTAGGTGGTCTGTAACTTTGGCATCCCAGCAATTCCAGCATTCTTATGGTTTATTACAGGTTCACAGGAAAAATACTTCCCACCAGCTTTTAGTTCACAAAGTCTGAAATCAAGCATAAGAGCTTGCAGAGTAATGAAAAAATGTAGCTACCCAGTAAAAAACAGTGACTTGGCTAACACTGAAGTGAGCAGTACCTTCAAAGAGGTCAGAGAATTGGACACCAGTCTTAGAAGCTGTGCACTGCAACTCCATAGAGATAACACCATCAGTAGAGGTCTGATGAAAGCAAAGTTTAGTTTTGTATTTCTTACAGGTGGAACACATTTAAATGAGTGTTTGTTCCACTTAAATGAAGTTCATGAGTATGGCTGGGTGACAGACACAAAAACAGTCAGTGCTCTGCTGTTGCTCTGGCTGCTGGATCTGTACAAACCACTTAAACTTTACACTTTGTGTCTCTCTTTCATGTTTGAAGAGCCTACTGTGTAGGGATGATAGAAGGCTTGACTCTGTAGTTCTAAGTCTCAAAGGCATTAACAGTCATCTATTAGAAAAATATGGGATTTTCTTTTGCAAGGTGGGGATACACAGAGATCTCTAGGCAAGGGGAAACTTGGATTATTTTCTTCACTTTGATTGTTCTTGACTTAAAGATATAAAAATATGTGGATACAGTGAAAGAAATTAAACCACTGTATTTTATACCTAGATGTGATAAGGAAGGATGTGGAAAGGGCTTTTCTACTCCAAGTCAACTAAAGCGGCACGAGAAGACACATGAAGGTATAGTAGCTATTTCGTCTTGCTTCAGTTACATTTCAGCAAAGGAAAAAAAGGCTTATTGCAGTAGAGAGTATGCAAGTATATGTGGCACATGTGGAAGTATTCTGGGCCTAGTGATCTAGACAGACAAAACAAGAACATGTTTTGAATAGTCAAACGGGGTACAACTGCTAGGCATTGTTCAGTTTCAGTGTACTTGTGGCAGACTGAACAGAGCTCACGATTCCTTCAGTTATTTCTTCTCCTGAGGTGCTTCCTTATCAGTAATCCATCTTTGGAGATGGGCTAATGGTTAAGACACTAGCTTAGACCTCCAGAGCTTAGAATCAATTGCCAGTTCTGCCACAAATTTCACATAGAGCCTTGGCAAAACCATGTACATTTTTAGTACCTATGTGAAAGGTTTTTAAATGAAATCATCATGACATGGCTGTGTATGTTTGAGCTAATCTCGCTACACTCCTGTCCATTATTTCAGTACTGTTGACAGCTAACCAGCTTTCTAGTGATAGAAGAAAATCTAAACCAAACAAACCCAACAGACTAGGAAGAGTATACAGAAAGCTGCGATTTGTACTGTGTTCCTTTTTTAAGACAAAGACTTGTTCCTAGTCTTTTGACCTCTCCAGTCCTGAGATTTAAACAGTGTTGATTTTCTGTGGTTCCTTTTTGCTTGATAGAATGGTAGAGTCTCTAGACCTGGAACATTACTGTATGGTCGAGATTTTTTTTAATATGCACTACAAATACTTATATAGAAATATTATATATTATTATTTTCATCTATTTCAGTAAAAGAAATAGCTCTACTGCAGCAAGGAGAGAGAGTTTCACAAAATTGTTTAGGTCAGAAAGGACCTCTGGAGGTCATCTGGTCCAGCTCAAGGCAGGATCAGTTACATGGGGTTGCTGAGGGCTGCATCCAGTCATTTTGCATGTTTCCATGGCTAAGGCTTCTACAGCCTCTCTGGACAACTGGAGTCAGAGATACAAGGTTTCTTTCTTAAACCTGTTAGGATCTTCTCCTGTCTTAATTTGTGTTTGTTGTCTCTTGTCCCATTCCTGGGCAGTATGAGAGAAGGAATTACTGGCCTTTAATTTTTAAATGCTAGAAGTGGAGTTCCTCCTTGTAAAACTGAACTGTGTTTGCCAGACCCTTTGTGATTGTAAACATCTGTCCCGTCCAACAGGCTACGCATGCAAGAAAGAAAACTGCTCATATACTGCAAAAACTTGGACAGAGCTTCTGAAACATAATAAAGTCAGTCATACAGGTAAACACCAAATGCTAATTTGAAGAGGAGTCTGTGCTGAACTTGTTCCATCAACTTGTCATTGTGTACAAACTTGTCTTAACACTTTATTGGTAAACTGGTTGTCACTCTGGCTAGACCTTTTTCTGATGAAAATGCTGCTTTGTATACTGACTTTGCTTTATGATCCAGTTATGAAGAAATTGTTTAAATGCAGGATTTTGGATCTGGATAATTCATACTACATTATTCTCTTCTGGTCTCTGAGTTCCTTGCGTTTCATGTGGATTTTAGCAATGTTCTGGAGGACTACTAGGGTTTGATTCTGAGCTTCTGTAAGAAACTGCTTATACTCTGCCTTTTTCTCTCTCCCACTCAGAGCCGATAGTTTGCAGCGAGTGCCACAAAACTTTCAAACGGAAAGATTACCTCAAGCAGCATCAAAAAACACACGCTGTGGAGAGAGAAGTCTGCCGATGCCCAAGAGAAGGATGTGGAAGGACTTACACAACTTTATTTAACCTTCAAAGCCATATCCTCTCTTTTCACGAGGAGAAAAAACCATTCTCTTGTGACTACCCAGGCTGTGGAAGGGTATTTGCAATGAAAGTATGTACCTTTTAAACTGTTCTTATCTGAATCATGTCATCTGAAACTATAAACCTAACTCTTTTTTTCTTCCCCTGCTCTCTGTAACTGTAGCAGAGCCTAGCAAGGCACACAGTTGTACATGATCCTGAAAAGAGAAAGCTGAACTTGAAAGTAAGTTATACACTTGAAAAAGTCTTTTCAACCATACCTTGTACTGCAGAGGAGGGTAAACATTATGTGTTTTAGAATGTGACTTCAAGCAGAAAAACAGGTTTACTATCCAGTTAATTTGTGAGATTCTTAATTTCTGAAGCTCCTTTAGCTACTGCAGTGGTAGCCTATTCACTGATTTCTTCCTTCCCCCCTCCCGCCCTTGTAGTCTTTGTCCCACAGATATGTAAAGTTTACTAATTCTGGATTTATTTCTGCCAGGCCAAGCGTTCTCGTCCTAAGAGGAGCTTAGCCTCGCACCTGAGCGGCTACATTCCTCCTAAAGCACAGCCAGGAAAGGATGCAGTTGTGACAGAAAGCAAGGCAATAAATAAGGTCGTGGAAAATGAAATACCAACTGTTGAAATTCTGACTCTGCAGTAAAGGTTAACTGAGACAACATTCTTCGTGGAATGACCAATGCAAAGCTTAACAACAGCTTTATGAAGTTCATATTTTTATTTTATTTTTTAATAAATTAGTATTGTTTATACCGCTTCATAAAGTCACTGATGCAACTCATTTGACTTCAGATCTTCATTTTCATCTTTCTTTACTGTACTGTTTTTCTGTTTTTCCATCTTCTGGTGTGCTTTCAACTCTTTGTCAGACATGTGTCGCAAAATACAGGCACTCACTCCTTCTCTAGTAACTTTTGGCTTGGAAAGATAAGTGGCTTTCTCAGATACAGTCTCCAAAATTTGATCAAAAAGCATGGACTAAAAGGGAGGAGAAAAATAGGACTGAATCAATGCACAAATACGGGTAGAAAAATATTTCCAGCTTTTGGTCTCCTGCTTTTGGTTTAGCTGCTAGCTGAAACAACCTAGTTGGTAGTCCTGGTTTGAGCAGTTCAGCTTGTCCTTTCCTAACTGTTCTTTACTCATAAGCAAGTTTATGAAAGTCACAAAGGCGGGATTAAGCCATTTCCTAGCATTCAGGCTGAACTCATCTTGTTTTGCTCTTTATAACTGACATGAGAGTGGTCTGCATCTGACTCCCTCCCCCCCATCCTCCTATTTCACTAGATTCAGACACATTATTATGGGGCTTTCCTCTTGAGGAGCAGTACTGTACTAAGGTTAGCAGAACCTGGTTGTATTGAACTGAGTGATAACAGTGCATTCGTGTAACAGAGTGAACTCCTAAGGTCATAATTAAACTTTTAAATTTAAGGACAATGTAAATCTGGACTGTGTCGTGAAGCGTTCTGCTCCCTCCCATAATCAGTTCCTCCTGTTACCCTTTCCCTGTGGATTTAACTTCTTATAAAAAGTTTTATTCCTTTTGGATGAAGTGATAACACAATTTCCCCCAGCTCAGTTGAGACAACCATCAAGGAAACCTAATTCACTACAGACATTATAGGGGGGAAAAAAAATCTTACATGGAATCTCTAAAAAAGCCATTTGTGCAAATGGCAATGAAGTCTCAAGGCCCTGCAATTGTACTAGTGAGTTGCCACCAGCTCCCTAACATCCTTATAGATGTTCACTTTGCTAGTCTTGGAACAGCATTCCAATAGTTTTTCATGATGCAGTGGACAACTAACCTTGGCCACAGTTGCACACTTGCATCTCTAGAAGAACAGTTACATAATTGAAATAATCCAGCTAAAATTCAGCAGAACTTTTTCAAACCTCACTGTTAAAAGTGAGTGAGCTGGCTTAAGGCAGAGGTAGGAAAATTTGACCAGCCCACTTAATAAGGTGGTGCTGCACAGACTGCTTAGAATGTGCTGTCAAAGCCAGTATTGTAACTGCATTCCTAATAAAGCATGGTCTTTGAACTGGCTCTGTGGGACTACTTTTCTAGAACTGCAGTGTTTGAATAGAAGCAGCTTAAGGTGGGCAGCCATTACTTGCACAGGAACTAGATCTTTACGTACTTTAGCAGTACATGAGATAGAAAAAATGGTGGCATTACTGAATAGGGCAGGTTAATACAACTACAGCTATATAATGGCATTGATTGGTCCAATTTTCAGGAGTTCACTTACCATGTCCGTACTGCTACCTTTTGCTTGCCGGATGGTAACTTTAACATGGTATTTCTTGTCAATCCACTGTCCTATCTGTTTCACCTTGGTCTCTAAGTCGTTTTTGGCAATAGCTGAAGAAAAGGATAACTCCTTCTGAACCACCCCTGTTTAAAACAGAACTGAAACTGTGTTGGTTTAATATCTGACAAACCTGTATTAGTTGCTCTTTTAACAGCTCATGATGCTTTGTCTGCTTAACTCCCTCCTCCCATCCTGCTTTCTCAGCAGCCTGATCTCATTGTCTCAACATGCACCACTCTCACCTTAGAAGGTGGCTACTTGATATTCTCACACTCACTGCTGTAACTGTCCAGACTTTGTTTTCCTAGCAGCAAATGAGGAAGAGAGTGTTTCATGACTACTGGCGACAAATTATATTATATTGGTGTCTCTGGTGCTCATTTTGTAAAAAGAGCCTGTCACTATGCCTTAGTAAAAGAACAGAAATTCAGTGAGAGTTTAGTTATATTCACTTAAATAAAAGTATTTTTCTAAAAAGTCAGCAGATGCCAAAATAGTAAATCCTGAGAAGGCAATAGAAGGCTTCTTTGTGGAAGACTAATCCAAAATTTTATTTTCACCACTGCAAATCCTTAATAGCATGGACTGCAGAGTGACATTGCTTTGGATTTACACAAATACAAGTAAGAGGATTTAATCTGCTGGAACCACTTTTAATGCAGCATTTTTCAAAGTGCTCAGTGTTGTAGTGTCTACAATGTACATACCTGGTTTTGGACTTGCTTTTTTCTTCTCTGCACGTCTAAGCTGTTCTTCATGGATCTGCTGCCCAGTCATTAGTCTGTACACTGGAGGTTCTACATTCTCTTTAAGGAGAACTAGTTTCAGGTTATGTTGATCCATAAGTTTGAGTGCATCTGCTCGGTGCATGTTTCCTAAGCTCTCTCCATCCTGGTTGATTACATGCACAATACGATAGGGAATTCTTCTCCCAACACTTCCAAACGCTGTATTCCTTTTTGGTTCTGTCTGAGATTTTTCAGCTGTACAAAATGGCTGAGTAAGTGCAAACACAGTTGACATTCTAGGGTCAGGTCCCGCTATCCAGAACGGAAAAAAGGACCACTTCTGTGGTGTCTGTGTTAGAAGAGTACCAAAGAACCTTTTTGCGTATCTGTTCTCATTTCTGGTTGCTTGACATAAATGTTTCATCACACACAAGGCAGTCATTCTGAGGATGAAATAAAAACAAGTTTCCCCCATCAGTCAGATTCTTATATCAGGAAGACTTAACTCCAGTTCAGTAAACCCTAGTCCTTGAAACTACTCATTTAAAAATATGCATGGGTGACACGTTCCCATTGATAGTGAGCTGACTTTTTCCAGTTATCAAAATTATTTATGTATCTTACAGACAGAAAGCATGCACCTATTTCACCAGAACTAGCTAATAAAAACACCGATATTTTTCTTCTTCTTGAATGATGAAAAAAGCTTGTGGGCAAAAAAAGAGAAAAACAGACCGACCTATGACTTGCCTGCAATACATGGGCTGGCAAAAAAGAACAAGATTCATATGTCCCAGATCCACACTTGCAAATTAAAATTTAAATAAATTGTTACAGCCATCTATGCTAGTACAATAATCATGAAGCTATAAACTTTCAAAACAAGCTTCAAAATATACCAGTGCTCGAAGACTATTGAAACTGATCTTTGAAACATTTGTTCCATTGCATTTTTTTTCCCCATTCTTCCCTGTTCATGGAATACCCCTGGCAATTATGGTGCAGCTGACCATTATTTCTGTTTTGCCCAGAACTGCAGAAATTGGCCATTTTCTAACAGCTGCAAAAAACAACAGATATAAAGAACAAATTGTGAGTATTATCTGCAGTTTTGGTATTTGATGTTTAAAAGGGAACAAGTACAGGAAAAGCTAAAGATGATACAAGAAACCAAACACGTTGTACCACAGGAGTTGGCAAGAGCGTGACCTCTTTTGCTCAGGAAGGAATGTGACTCCATTCTGTAAATACATATATGCATATACATACATATCTCTACATATATGACATTGTGTAAACATGTATCCATGTGCATACAGGTACATGGAAAAGGTGCAAACCATCAGCAAGGATAAGGACCTATTTATAATTCCAAGCAGTATTAGCACAGGAACAAGTAAAATGACCTTCCTGTGAACTTTTTATCTTAGCAGAAGGGGCAAAGTCTATATAAACTGCTTGAAGGTGGTGTCAGATCAGTTCATGAACAGGGTAGTATGATACAGCTGTGTGCTAAAGCAGGACCCCAAACTCAAGCTAGCCACAGGGCACAGAAGAGAAATAACAGGATATCCACAGCAGACTCTAAAAAAAACCTGACAGAGCTACTGTACCTTCCTGCCCTGGGCTCTGCCTCTGCCAATTCCAGACCAGAAACAAGACCTCTGTGAAAACAGCTCTTTTTTTTTGGATGTGACAACAGCCCTACGATTAAACACTCACTGCCAACAAACAACTGTCTTTGTGCATCATCAGTGCAGCTACACAAAAGCAAAGACATCCTTATTTTTAAGATGGTTTCCCAAACCAGCTCTGGATCACGCACTGCAGACTTGGTCTGTACTCTGGGCATCGCTGCTGCATTATGATATAATTAAATTCATCTTCCACTCAGAGGAGCCTGGCTTGCCTTTATCCGCTACTGACTTCTAAAACTAAGTATCGCGGTCACAGCAATGGAATAGCAGTTTATTTTAAAGAAATGTTAATCTTGCTCTGCCAAATACACGGTTTTGCGTTTACTGTCCTTCATTTCCAGTTGTTACTTTAACCCAGTAAATACAGTCTTAACTGTCTGAAATTATCCTTTGTATAGAAGGGTTTATCTTCGTGTAACATGGCAGATTCGTGTGTTTTGCTTTGTTGCGCAGCCCGTGTGTTGGCGAGGACGGCTGACTCCGCTGGCAGGGAGCTCTGATGAGCGGGGCATCCACGGGCATCCCGGGAACCGCAGGCACTGCAGGTACCAGAGGTGTGACCGTGCCCTGCCGTGTCCGTGTTCCCAGGTGTGCGTGTGCCCGTGGCTCGACGGTGTGCGCGACCCTGCGGTTCCGCGGGACCCGCGCTTACCTGCCGGCCGAGCCAGGCGAGCCGAGCCGCCGACCACGGCCCCGGCCCCGGCCCCGGCCCGCCGCAGCAGCCGAGACACCTTCCTGGGCCGGCGGGAAGTTGCGGAATGTCCCGCCTCTTCTCCTTCCTCTTCCTCCTCTTCCTCTTCCTCCTCCCGCGCCTCCGCCTCCTGACCCCGCCCCCCGCACCCGCGGGTCCCCGCGTACGGGAGCGCGCGTGTGTGTGCGCCTGTGTGTCCGTTTGTGTCTGTGTGTCCGTGTGTGACTGTGCGCCAGTTCTGTGTGGGCCAGTACACCAGTCTGTGTTTGTCTCTCTGTGCCTGTACACTGCTGTGTGTGTACCTGTGCCCTGTTTTCTGTGTGCCCGTGTGCCGGTGCGTGTGCTCTGGTCTGTGTGTGCCCTGCCCTGGTCTGTGTGTGCCTGTGCTCCAATCTGTATGCCTCTCTGTGTCTGTGCACTGGTCTGTCCACACACCCCTTCCTGCTCGTACCTGTGTGCTGTGCACAGTTGGGTACACACAGTCATGGTTGTGCAATTGCCAGTTTCTTACAGAGAGTTTCTGTCTCTGGATGGATGTGTGTGCTTGTACGTGGATCTGCGCATTCATCTCGTGTTCCCACATTTCCGTGCCGATGCACGTGTGGTGTGCCTGGTTCTATGTGTGCAGTTGTTGGGAAGTGGTGTTTTCCTGGGTGTACCCGCTGGGTGCATTGTTCTGTTGATTCTCAATGTCTTTGCTGTGCTGTGGGAGCTGCTGTGGATGTAAGGACCAGGGCTGGGAGATGATCCTCACTGTGCTCAGGGGCCATCCCAGGAGGGTACTTTGTGGCTGTGAGCGGGGATTACGTGGGTGCTGCGTGCATTATGTGTGTGTCATGTGTTGAAATGCGCACTTGAGTCATAGAATCATAGAATGGTTTGGATTGGAAGGATCTTTAAAGGTCCAACACCACCCCGCCCCCCCCCCCCCCCCCCCCCCCCCCCCCCGAAATAAGCAGGAGAAGCAGGAACATCTTCAACTAGATCAGGTTGCTCAGAGCCCTGTCCATCCTGACTTTGAATGTTTACTTGGATGAGGCCTCTACTGTCTGGGCAACCTCTGCCATTGTTTCACCACCCTCCTTGTAAAAAATTTCTTGCATCTAGTCTAGATCTACCCTCTTTTTAGTTTAAAACCGTAACCCCTTGTCGTATCAGTACAGGCCCTGCTAAAAAGTCTGTTCCCGTCTTTCTTATAGGTCCCCTTTAGGTAGTGGGAGGTCTGCTATAAGGTCTCCCCGGAACCTGCTCCAGGCTGAACAATCCCAGTTCTCTCAGCCTGTTTCCATAGGAGAGGTGCTCCAGCGCTCCGAGCATCTTTATGGCCCTTCTCTGGACTCGCTAGAGCAGATCCACGTTCTTCCTGTGCTGAGGCTCCCGGAGCTCGATGCAGCTCTCTACGGGGCTGTGCACCATAGTACGTCTGTCCCCACCCCTGGGGCTGCGGGAGCGGGCTGCGGGGCCGTGCGTGTGTGCGCGGGGCGCGGGCAGTGCACGGCCGAGCTGTGTCTGCAGGGGTCAGCAGCGTGTGCGGTTATGGAGTTGCGTGAGTCAGACCGAAAGCGTGCTGGATGTTTGGATTTGTTACCATCTTTGGTAGGCAGCTCTGCCTAGGGTTTGTGAGCTCCTCCGTCCGGTTTGGAGACAGAAACCTTTGAAAAAGAAGCTGAAATTTGTGCAAATGTTGGGTCCCCAGCTGTAAGTAACATGCTAAGAGATCCAGACGCTGAACAGTGTGGGAGTTTGGTGTTCTGATGCTCTGGAGGGGCAGCGTGTGCTGAGGTCTTTTCAGAAGCCCAGGTGTTCGTGTCTATCGAGGGATGCTGTTTCGCCAGCTGGGCGTGAGCTGGAACAACACTCAGACTGAAAGTGTGCTTGTGTTCATAATTAAGTACAAAATGAAGCTACGGGAAGCAGCTGGGAGGGAGGCCTTGTCTCCTGTTCTTCCTGAATAAAAAAAAAAAATCAGAATTTTTTAGCTTATATGGTTTAGGCCAGCTAAGTGACTCCTCTTTCCTCTCCCCATTTTCTGCCCAGGAAGAAGAAATGCAGTGAAAATCTGAGCTTTATCTTTTTGGGTTGAAAGCTTTCTGTTCCTAACTGTGGTCCTAGAATGGTTTCATTTCATAGGTTTGTTGGTTTTGTACTGTCATTGTGGTACACATGTTTAAAAAAAGGTCACTCATTTCTTTGTGCTTTCCATCTTCACGGAAGACATCGTATGGTAATTGTGTGCAAAACCAGAAAACTTTATTAAAACAGTTCACAATCTGAAGTTCATTCATATCACCTTATCCTCATTAAAACTCCTCACCTGCAGTAATGAGTTTGGAAAAATGCCAATAACAGAATTAGCCAAGTAGATGGTGAGCTGTGTTAGGAGCCTGAATGACAATTGTAGCTTCTCCTATTATATGCAAATAAAGCCTGTTTTTTTCCATCCTGCTTTTTTGTGCATTTCTTTTATTTCACTCAGGCTTTATGTCTTTAGAGTTGTAAGCTCTTTGGGAAAAGTGATTGCCATCACTTACATCAGCAGAATGCCTAAGAAAACCAGATCTCAGTTTGATCTCTTGAAATATAAATTACTGAAATTCTACAGTATCCAGTTGTGGAGAGTGAAATATTCCCCAATAAGAAAAGGCAAGACAAAAAAGGTTTTTACTGCTCTTTTCATGGTCTGGAAATCAAGTGTGGAATTTGAATAAGCATGAAGGGAAAATTTGGCAAAGCTGAAGCCTGGAGAGATATTTTTTTCATCATCTGTTCTGCAATATGCATTAGAGGAGGGCTTGTCAGCAGCCCTGCTTGCAGTTAGCTACTATTGCCGCTGTGAGAACTATCCCCATAAGACAGATAATTTTCAGCAATGTTAGAGGCAGCAATAAAGCTAATAATCCTCTTCACTGTGATAAAAACTACCTGCATGAAAGCAAGGTACTTCAGAGCATCCAACTTGCATTCCTTCTCTCTTCTGTTTATTTAATTTTGTTAAGTTTAAACCTGATGCTTGTTTTACTTTATGTCTTTCTAATTAAATTTAGTGTGCCAAGAAATAGTGCAGCCTTCTCATGCTGTTTGTCCTCAATTAACTTGATCTTTCTGGGGGTTTGTTGTACTCTTTCTCCTTGTTCTTTGTCTCATGTCTGTTTATACTCTAATAGTCCTGGGGCCATGTTTTTATATGTACCTGCCACAGTGGGACTGCAGTCTTAATTATTTGAAAGACACTATGATAATAAATGCAGTTAATAATAACTCTCTCCCTTCTATTTTGCTTGATGCACATCATCCTCTGCCTACCCCTGACAATACTCTCAGGAATTTATTTGCTTTTTAATTCCTAGATCTTCATTGTCTTTTTTTTAATTATTATTATTTATTTGATATTTACTTTCCCAAGCTGGTTAGAAAAGTTGTTGTTTTCACTTTATCATTTTTTTGTGCCATATTAAGGCCTGTTTGTTCTGCTAGACCTTGTGCCAAACTATAGATATTTCATCCCCTGGATAATTTTAAATGCAAATATGTGAGAACGGGAAGGAATGGTGGATGGAGAGATTTCTTGCCCTCACATGAGAACAGTCTGGTGATCTGCCAGTGTGGATGTTATTAATGTTAATAATTAATGCAAGACTCAAGAAACTACCAGGAATCTTTGTCCATATTAGCAACCAATCTCTGGGGGGATAATTTCAGTGTCCCCTGAGGATGTTAGAAACTGGTTCCAGTCCTTCTGTGTTTTGGGGTCAATCTTAAAGAACCACAGAATCATAAAAGTTGGAGGAGACCTTTAAGATCCTCTAGTCCAGCCATCAACCTAGCTCCACCATAGTCAGCCCTAAAATCTCCCCCTGAAGTTGTTCATTCTGGGTACAGTAGGCAGTTTGTAATTCCCAGCAGAGAGTGAGAATGCCCTTAGCTGGATGACAAGGTGTTCACCTGGAGACCCAGTGCTATAGTTTATTTTCATTCAAACTTCATCATTCATTTTGTGGGAGCAGGAAGCAAGCTACTGAAGTGCCTTACATCTGCAGGGAGCTCTTACCTGCTGGCACTGGGTGGAGGACTGGTCTTTGGTCCACAGTGAATATCTTTTGGCTTCCTAAGCCGGAGCTGTAATTCTCAATATCTGGTAAAAAAAAAAAGCTGAAATGCCAAACAAGATCATCAGGAATTATTACTTATATTGTTGGATTTAAGCAGTGCCTTGGGACCTTGGACATGGACTAGTAGCAGCGGGTGAGACAGCAGGTTTTTTCAGTCTTATTACTAAATCTGTGATTAGTCTCCTGCACACTTGTGCTTACAAAAGTTCTGAGCATCTGGAGGGTTGCTCACCCTGTGCACCTCTGTTTTCCTGGTGGGTTTTTTTGTGTAATTCCCTCCTTCACAGGGCGTTTCAGCGGGAGGCTTGGGGAAAGACTTGGAGAGAGTCTCTTACTCCTCCCCACTCCTGCTCTTCAGCAGCAGCTGGCATGGCCCCCCTTCCACCTTCCTGCTGGTTATAATGCCACATATGGCTGTGTGCTTCTGCAGTCCCCTGGTTCAGCAAGGGTCTGTAGCCTCCTTTTTACACTCCTTAGTATTCCTTTTCCCGTTAGGGTTTATAAAAAACTTTCACACATAACTCAGATGAAACACTCGCTTGCGCTGCGCTGAGCATTGCCATATGGCAGAGAACACGTCAGAGTAAACACGTATTTAAAGGACAGAGAAATTCTGGGCATGTAGTAGGTCCATATTTCTGGATCTGCAGTAGCTCATTTATTCCTTTTCCATCCACAGCTT